GAAGAGCGTAGCAGTTTGACCGAAAGACTACGATGGATTCAGAAACACATATTTCTTCACCAAAAAGGAAAAGCACATCATCCTACTTCCCTCGGCGCCACCACCGTGCAGGAAGGGTCAGATAACTCTCGCTGCATGCTCGATTGAACTAATCATGGTTAATTTGTGAAGTTTCAGCGGGATAGGCGTGGTCCACAGCCTCAAGAAGACAGATCGATAAGAATATTTTCTCGCAAGTTATGTAAGACCCTTAGGTGCCTTGGAGGGTGATGCAGTCGCCAATCAATTCCCAGTGCTGTTCAAATTACAGACGAAGAACCGGAAGCTTTGATCAATGAGTAGGTCGAAGCACACCCCAACGCCGAGAGACGGACACGGAGGCTATGGAAGACCGACCTAGAGGGTTCGGTCCAGCTTTGTTGGATCAGCCGGTCTACAAGGCGAGGGGTTGCCGACCCTACACCTCTCCCTTTCCTTTCTCTCCCTTAGTCTTTCATTCCCAGTACTTTCCTATTATAATTCCTTACCAAATCTAAATTCTGATTTATTTTACTCATCCTTGCCTAATCTGAAATTCGATTAGTTCACTCGTCCTTGCTAATCTGAACTCTTATTATATTTATTCTTCTTTCTTATTTTAAATATTACCTAAAATAAGTCATAGACCTCATTATAAATAGGGGGTTATGTTTTTTTTTAGTTTTTGTTGTGTTTTCTTTCAAAGTTACTATATAGAGTCATTTTCCCTTTTATAGGGTTGTATTCAAGGAGGTGGCAGTGCTCCAACCATATCCTACTCTGAGATGGCGATATATATTCTCTTTTCCTCCTCCACTTTCCTTTAACCGCCGGCCACTCCAATCCCTTCCCAACACCCTACCGCCCCCTTTTCTGCAGCATACTCCTGCTGTCCAACTGCTAGACCTCTCAATAAGCCACTAGACTGCAGTGTATTACTAGACTGCAATATAGATATAGATAGAATATTCCCTCACTGCAGTGTATTACTGCTGTCTCAGACCTCCAGACTGCCTTCCTGCATTCAGTCGACCCAGTAAAATTTCCAAAGAAAAATTGAATCGAAAAAAAAAATGTTTGTCAAATATTATTACATGTAAATCTATATTTATCATCAAGGATGGGTACTGGAACAAAAAGACGAGCTATTCCACTCAATAAGCCAACCTTCATAGAATTAATACATTACAAGTAATATTTTACCAAACATCATATCGCATAGAAATCCTATCACTAGATTATAAAGAGAAACAAGTTACCAAATCATCATCTGATTGAGCTATATAATCATCAGCAATGTCTGACTGTGTTTCTGTTCAAAAAAGCAGGAAATTTAAAAATCATATCTATTATAACAACTTGATAACAAGAAAACCATGTCACCAACCTTCACCAGTAGGGCTACTTATAGTGCAATTCCTATGATCCGCCTTGCCAACATTGAGTGATTGGAGTTGTTCAGAGTCTACAATGACTGGTTTATGAGAACCAGGCATATCCACAAGGTTTTCTGCGAGCATTGTAGAGTACCTGATTCAGATAAAAAAAATACATAAAGGTACATAGACCATTGCGTGTGGCCAGTTCTTAAATTCAAGAGAGAAGACACTGGCCATTATCAATTAATAAGGAAATTAAAGTTCAGGAAAAAAAAAAAAGTCTACCTTTCCGTTTGACCTAAAAGAAAATCAAGTTGCTTATCAAGAGCCTTCTTCTTTCTTTCCTCGGACTCCAGTTGATATTTATAAAGCACCTAAATATAAATGATGATAAGCTGAATATAAGTGTGTAGGTTTCTCCAACAAAACCAAGCAAAGCTAAGTAAGATAATAACTTGCCAGCTTCTCAATCTTCATCCAGAATTTCTTCACCTCTTTAGAAATATTAAGTGCAATTTTTCTCATACGTTGCTCTTCTTCCTAGAACTCGGCATCAAACATTACATAGAAGAAAAGTGAAGCTCAAGAATTTTTATTCAACTGGACTTGAAGCTCCCATATATTGGGATAAATTATCCATCACTTGGATAATCAAAGACTAACTGACAAAAAATATTACATGCCTACTTGATAATCATGCTGGAATGGTACAGGACAAACCTTGAGTTTCCTTTCATTCTTTGATACTTGATCAAGGCTGTTCTTGCTGGCTCTTAAGGCAACTTTTTTCGCTAGGGATAATTTCCATTTCCTCTCTGATTCAAAATCCTGAAAGCAACCATCACTTAGACAAAAAGCTTCATAATCTACAATATAATCTTATAATACTTATTTAGGGCATTTACATGCATACCACCAAATTCTTATATATTTACATATTTAACCCTGAAACTGCTTTTTTATGTTTACGCCACTCAAATCTTTCATATCACATCAAAAGTACCACAATTTAAACTTTTAAAAAGTGAAATACACATTTTCATTCTCATGTATAAGAAAGATGGCATTTATGTAAAAATTGAAGTTTTAAGGGATAATGTAAATGCATAAGAATTGAGTGGTATGTAATTAAATCTTCCTAATTATTCATAAAAAGTTTTATAATCTGAGCAGTGCTAGTTAGCCAATAGCTTCAGCCATAAATGAACGACACCTTTGACAACCAAACCATCTCCTCTAAAACGTGATCCCAGTGAACTTTAGGTCGAGGAGGCTCCCTAGGGGCCTCAAAAGCCTGAAAAGGTTGAAAGAAACGTCTTACTAGAAAATAAGTTATGCATCAATCACATAACGTAATGCATTAAGCTCACTTTTAAGCTTAAATGGTATTATCTTATCATATATATGTCAGGATGTCAGGATGTCATGTATATATATATATTTTTAAATGGAAAAATAGCTCTGGTGGCTACCCATAAGCAGAAAAACTGAAAAAAAAAAGATAATGAATTGGTTCATAATGTTAAAAACAAGTAAATTTCTTTTAAGTTGATGACAGAAATGTAGGGGAAAATCCTCTCCAAAACAAACAAAGAAAATTAAATCCAACCATGTCACAGTTACTTCTACTCAAGGGATGAGAATGGAGCCACCCAAAGCATACATAAAAATAAAAAATAAAAAAAAAGGATATGCTTGTCTGCTAGTGAAAGTAAAATAAGTTAGTAGACAAAAAAAGAAGCTTAATTTTAATTCAACTTCAAAGATGATCTCACCCAAGTAAATGTTAAGCCAGCCACCACTAATTTTGATCGTAAAGAGGCAATAAATCAATCTCCTCTCACTGAATCATCATCATTAGCATATACTATCTATTTGGATAAGCCTACAACTAACAGCTCCAGAGTCGAAGAGAAAATAAATCAAAGTCCAATTCATAAATTATAGCATTCTACAGTTTTTTTTTTTTTTTTCTCTCAGCAAGAAACAAAGACCTCCCAAATTCATCTGCTCTTTGTTCTAGGTAGTGTGTAGCTAATGCTACATGTGGCTAAACTATAATGATTAATTGCTCACTGTCAAATGAATTCATGTTTGCCACTAGCTGCTAATTAACTTGAATTAAATACAAATTTTAAATTCTGTGATAGGATTCCAAAATTGCTAGTTAGGTTTGTATATGAGGTTTATCATCCTCAACATCATTAGCCTTATCCAAGCAATTAGGAGATAAATTTAAGAATCCTAATTCTCCATGCATCCCTATGAAGTATTGCATGAGGTTTTAAACCTCTTATTTGAAAATCATCATTCACAACCTCTTTTGAAGTTATTTTCAGCTTACCCTTCTCTTTATAACCCACAAAAACAACAACAACAAGCTTTTATCCCACTAAGTGAGGTGGCCTACATGAATCCTTTTTTTTCCCATTTCGCTCTATTGAGTTTCACATTTTCATTTAATTCTAATAGAACATTTAATTCTAACAGATTAAAATAATTTTTTAATACAATATGCCTAAGTCTTTTTAGGTCTACCTCTCACTTTCTTAACATAAATCAATGCTAAAACATCAACTCTTCTAACAGGATCATCAGATGGTTGATGATTAATATGACCAAACCATCTAAGACGACTCTCTCTAATATTGTTTGCCACCGAAGCTACACCAACCCAATCATATTCATTTCGCATTTTGTCTCTAAGTGTCAGGCCACTCATCCACCTAAGCATTCTCATCTCAGCAACACTTAACTTTGTTTTATGTTTATCTTTTAAAGGCCAACATTCTGCGCCATAGAGCATTGCAAGTCTCACCGCCATTTTATAAAATTTTCCTTTCAGTTTAAGCAGTACTTTTCTATCACACAACAGGCCAAAAGAATTCCTCCACTTCAACCAACCAACCTGAATTCTACTAATAAAATCCCCATCTATATCACCATCCCCCTAAACAATAGACCCAATGTATCTAAACGTTCACACCTTTTAATGATTTGATCGCTCATAGTTACAACTCTGCCACTAGAGCTACTAGTACTAAAATTACATTCCATGTATTGAGTTTTAGTTCTACTCAAACAAAGGCCTTTAGATTCCAATGTAGACCACCATAATTCAAGTTTTTTTCTGAACTCTTTCTCTAGTCTTATCCATAAGAAGGATATCATTAGCGAAAAGCATACACCAAGGTACATCCTCTCGTAAATGTCGAGTAAGCGCATCCATAACTAAGCAAAATAATATGGCCTTAAAGCCAATCCCTCATGTAATCCAACTGAAATAGGAATACTTGGTCAATCCTCCTTCGGTTCGAACACAAGTGACTAATCTAGTATACATATCTTTAGTGACTTGAACATAATTCATAACAACACTTTTTTTTCTCTATAACTCTCCATCAAACCTTTCAATAAACGGACAACTTTCTAACCCATTAAAATTGATTTCATTCATCATTCTATGCATTTTCTAAAGTTTGTTATGCATGGCCTTTTTACTTAAGTTTACTTTTAACCAACTTATATTAATCGATGTTGCTCCCACCGCCAACTAATATAATCATTTAATAACCTATCATTCTAAGATTTTGCACATGCACATCTTACATTTATGATTTTTGTCATGTATAAATTGCCTATCAATGATTTCTTCCTTGCTAAATACTCAAATCAATATAATATAACCATAAAGTCAACATTATATTATCTTATCTAATGCACCTAAAAATTTTAATATCCAGCTTCAACTCTACAAGGTATGTTACCATTAATGTACCCGTTCATTTACATGATCGATCCACAATACTTTGCCTGCAAACCTAAGCACCAATTTTTAAAACTATATTTTATTAAACTTAAAACGGAACTGCCTATATTTAGATTATCCATATGTAATCAACTTAATACAAATTACCTTCCTAAAATATTCGCCTAAGCTTTTACTTTTCAACTCTCTATTTACAACTACCACTACATGATTCACATTTTTAACCATATAATGGCTTATAACCGTCCCCATTGTCCTTGTGTTATTCTTATTTTTATTTAATTTTCAAACCTTGATTCTTCTTGTAATCATCATGCCCATTAATTCTCTTATCTTCACATTCAAAGTTGCCAAATTTCATCCGAAAAATCAAATTTTAATTTTAAACAAAATCAAGACTTACCAACTTTTCAACTATACTGTCGTGCACTACTTATGAATAAGGTCTTACCCAACATTTGCCTCTTTTCACTACAATTATATTAGTTATTAAGTTGTGACGCATTACTTAAGAATGGGGACCTAGCAAACACTTTTTACTTCTCACCACATCAGATTACGGCGCTCAATAGAAATTTCAAATACAAATAATAACAACGGTAATACATTCACAACCTAAACACCGAATTCATTACATCAAGTAATTCTAAATCTACACAAAAAAATTGTTATAAGTTGTATGGATAGCTTATCTCTCTTTATAAGAAAATATATAAAAATTACGCAAGTAATTAAAAATCCACACAAGAATTTTCCAACCAGGACAATAACTTATTGAGAATCGCAAGCTGCTTGTCAAACTAGAATTGAAGTATTCCAACTAATGTAAATAGAGCAAGGTCAAGGTTCCTGATTTCTGTAAAATGCAAAGGCATAACAAGATGATAAGCTACAAAAATCGTAGATAAATCCATAAGCATGATGGCATATTGTTTGCAGTTTTTTCACTGTATGAAATTTCAATTAAAAAGTACCAGGAAATGGAAGCAAAAGAAAAAAATCTTGACACAGGCACTGAAACTTTCATAGAAAATGTCATTTACATAACTATGAGCAAGTTTGGAGCAATGGTGAGCTTTCCACCATTGCTATGGGTATCGTGAAAACCATCCGCAAAAATTGTGGCAAAAGTCTCACGCAATGAGTATCCTTTATGTCAGTTACAAAGTTCAAAGATCAGAACAATTATACTCCAAGAAAATTGTTCTTCCAACTTAATTTCAAGAAAAAAAAAAAAACAAAAAACATTCAAACGTCTTTTTTTGCGAAAGAAAAAAATTATTAGTTTTCCAAAAAAAAAAATTAATGACCTTTTGACGTTTGGTTCTACTTTCATGGTCCAATTTAGATCTAGGACCCTTCGAGGCCATGGCTTCTTTCTTGAAAGTACCTGCATGATCACATAGTATGTCTATAAAAGAATAGCTAGCAGCAATGTAAAATTATACACGCAAACAACTATTTCTAAGAACAATAAGACACTTCTCATAGATCCATCAATTGTTACAACATTTGCAACTTAAAACATCATTTACAAGAAACCTAAATATTCCTAATTTATTTACAATAAACAATCTTAGTACTTCCACATATACTATATGGGATGAGCTCAAATGTCTAAAATATCGTTCAAGACAGATCACAACTCAATAAGATGCAAGGGTGACCTGGCAATGGCTTTCATGAAAATAGTGCCCCCGGAAATTCATGGGCGACACAGCGAGCTTTCATCCTATAGTCGGTGAAAAGTAACATATAAATAACGAAATGCTTACTGGTCAGTAAAATAGTCGGAGCGATTTAAATTTGTTGGTTCCATAATATAATCAACTCTGATGACTACAAAATTTTCAGTCTAATTGGGTTTAAATGACCAATATAAGGGTAAACGCAGTTACAAGAAAGAAAAATAGGGAAAAAAAGACATAACAAAATGGTTACCTTGAAATGTTTAATAAATGTCTTTAGCATCGCATGTCAATTCGAATACCAGAGTGTATCACTACAAGGAAAAAAATCATAAATAAAAATAAAATAAAATCATGTAAATAAAAATAAACAATAACCAAAAAATTCAATGAAAAATCATGCCAGCTCAATGAATGAAAAGATTGGTATTTTAAATCTTAATACATTAACATAAATTTGTACAAGTTAAGAGTTGTTTGGTTGCAAGTATTACCCAAATTTTAGAAATGCAGTATAAAGTAAATAAGGTGGATTTTAATTGGTCTAAAATAAATGCAAGGGAAACATTCATTTTGGTTCAATGATTATAAAATAAATCCAATATTTTGTTCAATTTAGACGATAATTTAAAAGTGTATTAACCCACATATCCTTTTATTACACAATACAAATATAAATTAACTTAACTATTGAATGACTTTTCCTTATTAGTTCATCCATTAAAATAAACGGTTGGAAAAGATCACCCATTCGGTCACTCCTCACTCGCATAATCAAAGATCACATGCACAATCAGAGATCACCTACCCGTTTGGGGTGGCGATTTCCCTGCATTGCGGTTTCGTACCGCAATTTGCGGTGTTTGTTTACAACAGTGCATCCGCGGTCCGATTAATTTTATGCAAAACGTGGGCAGTGGGTTCGAACCTGAGGCCCGCGTTCCTCACTATTACTTTTCCTTCACTTCCCACGTTCCTTCCTTCGCTGCCCTCAGTCCTTCCCCCGACACGACTTGTCCTAAAAATCTCCTTTCTCCAGCCCCTTGATTTTGTGGCTCTGGTGGCTAGCCCTTGTTTCTGTTTGTCATTCGGTGATTTTGGGTGGCTGTTGCGGTGAGCTTCCACTATTCTCTCCCTTTCCTCTCTTTCCTTCGATTCAGTTTGGTGATTCTGCACAGTCTGCGATCTGCACGGTGGTTCCTCTTCTTTGGTTTCGGTTGGTTGTTCTATTGAGCTTTTTATTCTCCCTCTCCCCCTCCCCCTCCCTCTCCCTCTCCCTCCCTCTCCCTCTCCCTCCCTCTCCTATATTCTCCCTCTCCTCTCCTTAAAAATCTTCTCTCTTTTGTTGCTCATAGTGCGTTCTGTGTAGTGGTTCCTCCTCTTCTTCTCCCAACTGTTCCGGTATTCTCTGTGTTATCTACTAGTTGGTTCTTGATTTTGCAGTTAGGTGCAATGGTTCAGTGGCGGTGGTTTTTTATTTTGCAATTTGGTGGTTTCAGCCCTCTGCTTTTTGGTTTCAGTGGATGTTGGCTTTTCCGTTTGGTTTTTGGTGTGATATGTTTGGTAGATATTTTTTCTTCTTTATGTTGCATCTTGATGATGGTTTTGGTTATGTGCAATGGTTGGTTTTGTAGTGGTGTTTGCCTATGCGAATTGGAATATTGATGGTGGTGGTTGGAAATGCAAGTGAAAAGGCAATAGAAATGGTTGCCTTATCTGCCAGGTGGATTTTTATTCTGCAATTGCTTATGTGCAATGACTCATTTGACAGTTTTCTCTTTGCTCTAAGCATTCGTTTGTTTTTCAGTTGATGTTGGCTTTTCGGTTTGGTGGTTTTCGGTGTGATATGCTCGGTAGGTCATTTTGCTTCTTTATGCTGCATCCTATTGATGGTTTTGATTATGTGCAAGGGTTCGTGATTATGTGCCAGGGTTCGTGTGGTGGTGATGTTTGCATATGAGAATTGGAGCACATGGTGGTGGTGTTTACATATGAGAATTGGAACATACATGGTGGTGGTTGGAAATGCAAGTGTAAAGGCAATAGACATATTTGCATATGCAAAATGATGGTGGTGGTGTTTGCATATGCAAATTGCAAACATAGATGGAGGCAGTTGAAAATACAAGTGATGTTGTTGCCCGAATTATTTGATATTGTTGCATGAAATTCAGTTAATGTTGTTGCCTGAATTTTGGTTGAGGTGTTCGTCGTACTGTTGGTGTGTGGGTGTATTGTTGTGCGGGTGCAATGGTGTGTTGTGATGGTGGTGGTGGTATTGTGAATGTTTTGATGTGTTGATGTGTGATGAGGTGGTGGCAGTATTGTGAATGCTTTGGTGGTGGACGTGGTCGTAGTGGTGTGGTGTGGTGATGTATAAGTGGTGTAGTGGTGTTATGCAGATTATTGGAGGGGCAGTGGTGATGCTATTGTGGCATTCTTATGTTTCTTTGAGTTGTGTTAAATATTTTTGATGACAAATATTTATGTTGATTAGTTATTTTCATGCTAATATATACAATGATTAAGACAAAAGAGGTCGGTTCATCTGCAACGTAAGATAAGGATACAAAAATAATATTTTGTAGCATTTGCCTCAAGGAGGTCCAATTGAGAAATAGGCTGATAATATATTTCAACGAGAAGGGTTGACAAAATATCATTAAAAATTTCAAGAACAATACAGGCAGAGAGTGTGATATTATGCAGTTAAAAAACAAATGGAATCAACATAAAAAGAATTGAAAAATCTAGAAAGAATTAAAACAGGTATTCACGGACCTGGGTTGGGATCTGATAAAGTAAACAGTCGATACTTCGAAGGAGTAGAGGCAAAGAGATTAGGGGTGAGCACTTTTAAATCATCTACTGCTTCTGTCAATTTTCCATTTTTTTTTTCAAATGCATCAATATGTGTTATTACTTTGTCGGTGGTGCCAACTGCAAAAAAATTTAAATACAGTGACATCGATCCTGAGCAAAAAGAGAAGTTAGATTATATGTTTGGTGGTGTCGTGGCAACGAATAATAATGCGTGCACGCCTAGTGAGGCAGGGTTTGATTCTAATGAAGGCCTCCATCAAGTTGAATCCACTAGCCGGTCAAAGTGTCTCTGGGTTGAGAAAAAGAAAAGGGAGCTGCTTTCATTATAAGCTAGATTTCACAGTTGATGACTTCATGCACCGATGACTCCAACCCATCACAAACAACTTCTGTCCAACAGGTCATGCATATTCTAGAGGCAACACACAAAATTTATGAGAATATGTCGTTGTATCTGTTCTTTATGAAATTGCTTGAAAACCCAACCCAAAAAGAGTTTTTTATTACGATGACCCCTGACCGTACGTTATTTTCATGCGAACAGCTACACTTGAAGGACACCTGGTTTTCTTTATATTCTTGTGGGACATTTTACATTTCTTGCTGCACTCGACATTCTTATTTGCTTTTGGTTTTTTACTTTTTTCATTGGGACGATGCTAAATTTGATTTGCAATTTTATTTTTCATTGTTATGTTTTCTATTTACTTCTCTAATTTTATTTTCAGAAACTTTTTAATGAAGTTTCTGAAAATACGATCGAACTTAGTGATTTTAATATCATAAATAATAATAAAACGTTTCATTTTTACCGTCGCATTAGCAAAAAAGAAGTTGAGGAGGCTTTAAAGAAAACCAAGGGTGGAAAGTCTGTAGGACCTGATGATATCCCAATTGAAGTGTGGAAATATTTGGGAGATTTAGGAGTTTCTTGGCTTACTAAACTCTTTAATATTATTTTAAAAACTAAAAAGATGCCTGAGGAGTGGAGGAAGAGTATTTTGATCCCCATTTTTAAGAATAAAGGGGATGCACAAGAGTGTGCAAATTATAGAGGAATTAAGTTGATGTGTCATACTTTAAAATTATGGGAGAGGGTAATTGAACATAGGTTAAGACGCATCACAAAAATTTCTCATAATCAATTTGGATTTATGCCTGGCAGGTCTACTATGGAAGCTATACATTTATTGAGAGGTTTGATGGAGAAGTTCAGAGATAATAAGGAGAATCTACATTTGATTTTTATTGATTTAGAAAAAGCTTACGATAAGGTTCCAAGAGATATCCTTTGGAGAGTTCTCGAGAAGAAATGTGTTGATATGACTTATATTCAAGTCATTAAAGATATGTATACTAGAGCTGTTACTTGTGTTCAAACTGAAGGAGGATTGACAAAATATTTTCCTATTTCTGTTGGTTTACATCAGGGATCGACTTTAAGCCCATATCTTTTTGCTTTAGTTATGGATGGTCT